ATAAAAGAAAGCTCACTGGGGTTCTTCGTGATTTTTGAGAATATGATAAATATCTGAGACCAAAACAATTCAGAAACACTAATGTAGACCAAGCACTAAGCATATAATAAACTATTCAAGAGCTTTTAACACATGTCACATGATCTCATAAAGTAAGAGTTGAAAAGTTATATAATTGCACTTGTAATAGTATAACAGGAAGAATTTTCTTTCTCTTTCTTACTCTGTAAACTTTAAAGAAATCATACCATTCCTATGAGAGAGAAGTGTTCAGTGCATGCTGATGACATTCTCTCCGTTCTTCCTTCCAAGTCTATGAGTGTCATTTCATGTGTCCCATTTACAGGAGTAAAATTAGCATGTTATCCAGTCACCATTTGGCTCATGACTCAATGTCACTATAAAAATCATTTTAGCAGCTTTGTAGGCCCAACTTCTTCTAGGATACATTGATGTGGAACGCTTCAGTTTGTTTAATATAGGAGACGTAAGTACATACTTTTGATAGCCTTATGAAATCTATCTAAATCTGTAAATTCTACTAGAGTAAAACCTCCTGGTGTATTCTCTCAGATATTTTGTGTATATGTTACTACAAAAGGCAAAGGGCATAAACAAGGAAAAGACCAACAGGAATCATGAATCTCAGTTCAGAAATCCATTATACAAAGAAAGAATTCTTAGAGCAGTGAGACGCTGCTTCTGTTGTTAAAGAGTTGGAAAGTGCGGATTTTTTAAGGAGGAAAAGAGAGAGAAAACTTATTTTTATTTATGAATTTTGGTTGAATTTTTAGAGATTTGTGCTATAAAATTTAATCTGTTCAGTATTTAAATAATAAGATATCTTTTCTTTCTCCTATTAGACTTTAAATATTAGCATAATTGGATCTTTTGTATAACTGGATACAAAAAAAACCCACTATATTATCTTGTCTATATCCAATACTATCATTTTGTTATGTCTAGAAAATTCCAATTACAGCATCATAACCAGGAAACTCAAGTGAGGAATTAACGTTCACTTTTGGTAAATTTTCCAGGTTTTTTTTCTGATTAGCTTATTTGTATAAGGTCAGCATAAGTGCTAATTGCTACTCTATTAAACTATCAGCTGCTCACATTTATTTGATTTTTTTGGAATTTTGTCTTTTTTTGGTGAATATTTGTCAGACAATTTTTTGGTGACAGTTCTTCAGAATTTCAAAGCAAAAGTACAAGTCATCAATACAGCAGTATATTGGTGTCAAAGTTATTCTGGTTCTCTGGTAGTTGTATCACTAAGTAAAAGAACTGTGTCTAAATACTTGACTGAACAAAAACAAAATAAAAATGTAGCTGCCATGCATGTTAAAATAACTGTTTTTGAGCACCTAATAGGAATTCACTAAAAGAACTATTATTATGGAGAGAGAAAAATAACAGTACACAGCATTTATATATTTTGTTTAAAAATGTGATTGTATTTTTTCCTTCATTCGTGTATTTTTAGTGTGTGCTATTTGTCAGCTATTGTTCTTTTATTGGAAAAGAAATCTACTGTCTGGAAAAGTAAAACATAAAAAATGAAATACTACTTTTATAATAATAGCTCTTATTATGATGATAATTATAATAACTGGACATCCAGTACTTAGTTTCTATGTTACAGTATAGAATTGGATGCACATCACTCTAGCAAATATATTTCAAAAATGCTTAAGAGGAAGGGAAGTTTATAGAAATAAGCTCTTCTCACAATTGTCCATATTGTCTTTCACTCAATCTAAATGAAAGCATCTATGAACATTTTAAATGTGAGCATAACATATATTTATATCTTTCATAACCCTGCTCTTCCTCCATGTGTTCATTACTTAGGAGGGCACTAAATGAAAATTCTAAGTAAGTTGTTGTCTTCCTTCATATAAGCAGAATTGCCACCAGGATCTCTTAACATTCCCAAATAGATAAATCCTAACAGTATACCTTCTTTTGATTCATATCTTCTCATGGAAAATGTTGCCACCTTTCTCTGCCTCATTTTTGATATTTTAAATTTCCTTAAAACTATTAACAGCGAAGTGAATTAGATGTAAACTACTGCATGCCCATGTATTATTGTGATACTCTGCACAGAAAAATGATAATAGCCAAAAACAAGGAACTTTATTGCAAAATACAGTGCCCTCTATGCAGAACTCACAGGCCTGCGTTTAAGTCATATTTCTGTGTAGGGTTTAGCAGTCACTTGAAATCTCTGAGACTTTTTTTTTTTTCATCTGAAAAATGAGGATATTTTTCCTACTTCTTTGAGTTGTTACCAAATGAGAAATAATAAAAGGTGTGATTTTTTTTAAAGCCTATGTTTTAAAAAGCCATAAGAAGAGACAGAGTCAAAATGATTATAAAACGAGCTTATTTCTGTAATCCCACCTCCACTTAAACGTTTATAAGATACATTTGCTAGGTTGATGTACATGTCCAATTCTAAGCCGTAAAAGTAATGTAGGAGCTAAATCTTGTGTTGGTTAATGGTGGCAGAGTAGATGATGAAAATATCTTTATAACTAGTAACACTAAATTACTCCAAGGTCAAAAACTTTACCCAAATTCTTACTTATTTATGTAGACAGGCAGCCTGGAACGGTAGATAAAGCGGGCTAGAATTTTGCAGGCCTAAGTTTCAGGCATGTAATTAACTATGTGAAGATAGGCAGATCACTTGAACCACCTGGTCCTCATATTCCTCACCTCTAAAAACTTCTAGATTGAATTAAATGAATTTTTAGGACTTGATAATTTAGTATTATCAGGGAGCAGGAAAGTTCTCCATGGCTACTAATGAAAGGTTATTAATATATTTCTTCCTCGATGGTCAGTTCTATTCAGCGTACTTTTATTTAGCACTGACTGCGTGCAAAGGACTCTGCTAGAAATTGTACATGATTAAAATACTAATGAAATGTAGTTTCTGTTTTGTCAGATCCTCTAACCTGTCTAGAAGAAGTAATCACAATGCTAGTTAGAATTTATGTGCTCTGTACAGGCACAAATCAGGTCCGTGCAGTGCTAGCTAAAGACATAGGGAAAAGAGAAGATGGTGTTTGGTTGAATTTGGAGGGCTAAATTTATTTCAACAAGCAAGTTTGTTAGAGATAAGGCATTCTAGGTAGAGTAACAGACCTGAGCAAATGCATCAGCAGAGAAGCTCTAGAAAAATATTGTGTTTTATTCTGCAACATACCAAGCATAAGAGCAGGTGGTTGAAGTTAAAACAGCAAAAGTGGGTCCCTTCCAGACCATGGAAATGCTTTTAAAAATTCAGGATGTGTTTTGTAAGCTGAGGGGCAGGTTTTGAAGGCCTTTGATAATGGTCAAAGGTGACTTTAATGGCAGCATTTTGGAAAGATTGGGGAGTTAAGAAACAAGGAATGGAAGAACTCAGCAATGGTCCTTTTAAGAGCTTTTCCTGTGTTTTACGGGTAATAAATGTGAGTGACATCAAATAAAAACAAACATGACCTGGCAAGTGATTAGACATGATATCAACTGAGAGAAATAAGTGACAATATGCTCCAGCATGGTGTGTCGTGTTAATGGAAAGTGACTGATGACATCAGAAATGGAAGTAAATGAAATTAATAGCATGCCTTCAAAAGAAGGCCCAGTTTATCCAGAAAAGAATAGTGCTTATGCAGAGACATTTTGTGTGAGAAAGGAAGAGATTTAAGAGAACTTGCAGCAGATATTCTATATCTTCTCAGAGAAAGAAGATGCAGAGTCATCTCTTAAGGCAGGTGGTGTCTGGTGTGTGGACTAGAAAAGATTTGGAATCCTTTCCACAGAGAAAAGCATATGGAAGAGTCAACTAGAGGTAAACAAAAGAATTTCTGAGCAGCACCAAGTGTATACTAATAATAGAGCTGGAATTTCTAGTTGAGCCAATTGGCACAGTTTTGTGACTTTTTCTGGTAACACTCAACCACAGATCAGAGAAAGTGCACTGTCTGTTTTCCCAGTGGTGATGCATAGGTAGGAAGGCAAAGATGACAATTAATCAAAGATACTTCTGATGTGAATAAGACACTGCACAAAATGGTGGGCACTTGATTCACATAGGACTGGACCTAGAGGAAACTAAAATAAAAAAAAGGTTAAAGGAATTAAACACAGGACCAATGTGAAGAATTCATTTATTAAGTGTAAGTGGAAAAGGAAAAAACTAATGTGGCTATAGCCAGAGGAGGAAATGTTCAAGTTCAGGATTTTTTAGAAAGAGGTAGTTTTGAGAGATCATTGTTTATATGCCTTTGAAATTTCATTTCAAAGATTCAGTCAAGAGAGTTTTTAATACTTTCGAACAGTGACTTGCCAAGGGGGGCAGAGGGAGCTGTCCTCCTGGACTGGGAGCAGTATTTGATCACCGACTGTGTTTAGAATTGCTGGTGTGTGGTGATAATAAAAAGCAACCTGAAATCTGGTCAATTTCATGAATATTCTTAGACTGTCTACAGACAATGCACTTGTGTACTGCTTATCTCTAGGATGGACCCATACCACTTGACACCCCCTCCCCACCCGACCTCAGGTTATTCTCTCTGGAGTTGAAGGCTGACTAAAATGATGCTACAGAAAGAGAATTTTATAATCTAGACCATGTATCAACAAATGCAGGAATGTAGGCCAAATCTGGCCCTCTGTTTTGTAAATAAAATTGGTTTATTACATTTTTTTTAACATATTGCTTATGGCTGTTTTTTAACTCTACGGGCAAAGTTGAATAGATGGACTAGAGACTGCATGACCCTCAAAGCCGAAATATTTACTATTAGGCCTTGTACAGAAAGAGTTCCCTGATCTTTGATCTAAATACTTAAGAAAGAGCACTACTTGCTTGTGGACATGTAAACAAGACAGTTGTTTCACAGTTGTAACAGGCCAGTAGTTTAATTAAGTGTATTTGTTAGATGTTTATCATTGACTACCATTATATTTACCTACTAACTTTTCTCTCTCTGTAGTCCCTGCTATGTGGATATTTGTTAGCAATGACTGATGTGGAAACTACATATGCAGATTTTATTGCTTCAGGAAGAACAGGTAGAAGAAATGCAATACATGATATCCTGGTTTCCTCTGCAAGTGGCAACAGCAATGAATTAGCTTTGAAATTAGCAGGTCTTGATATCAACAAGACAGGTGAGTCATTTGACACACATCTCTCTATGAATATGGAATAATTTGCAGCATTTCACTAAGTAGGATTAAGGCACGAAAAGCCACCTTTGAAAGCAACCTAATAAAAATAGTTGTAAACAGTCTAGGGCAAGATAAAAGTCTAGGATAAAAGTCTAGTTAAAAGTCTAATGCCTTAATCACTCCCTCTCTGTTCTCAATGACTTCTCTTCACAGGGGTCCCCACTCAAATACAGAGTCCTCAATCTGATTTGATTAATGCAATCAATAAAACACATGATTTTTTAAAAATCCTAATATCTATAAAAGCTCTGAAGTTGCTTATGTAGAATATTTAACAAAGTTGGAGCTCCTACCCTTGACACTACTGGCTACCTCTAACATTTAATACATAGATATTTAACAAGGTTGACAGGTGAGTCTGATGGACCTTAATTTTAAGAACCATTTCAGAAAAAAGTGTCTCCAGAAACAATTTTATTGAGAATGAAAGTGAAATAGTCTCTTATATAAGTAAATCTTAAGTATAAGGGTCTTTTAGTGCAAAAATAACCTTTAAAAGTGAAAAGAATTCATGGTTAAAGAACCATAATTTTATGTACATGAAAAGCACTTAACTTGGTTTCTGACTTGCAACCAACCATTCGGTAAGTCTTCACCACTAGAGTTTTTACGGCAAAGCCTTCAGGTTATTGGAAAACTGAGTCAGAGTATATAAGGTCATGTGCCACATAACAACGTTTTGGTCAGTGATGGACTGCATATAAGATGATGGTCTCATAAGGTTAAAATGGAGCTGAAAATTTCCTATCACTTAGTGACACCATAACCCTGGTCACATTGTAGCACATTACTTGCATAGGAGCAATAGGCTATACCGTATAGCCTAGCTGTGTAGTAGGCTGTACCATCTAGGTTTGTGGAAGTACACTCTGTGATATTTGCACAATGATGACATTGCCTAATGACACACATTTCTGATGAAATCTCCTAATGACACATTTCTCAAAATGTATCCCCACCCTCAAGTGATGCATGATTGTTTATGTTAATGAAACAACTCAACATTACCTTTAAATACTTAAGGACAGCATTTTAGTCAATGCCTAAAGATCAGTAGGTCACAGATTGGTCTTTTCAATTTCGGATTAATAATAAACCTTTAAAATAACCACTTTGGAATATATAGACCTATGTATATTTTAGGTTTTATTGTTATTGTTTCTCTATTATTGATACCAGTAGTTACTTCCCAAAACACCTCTGAGAAAGGCTATAGGGAATTATTCCAATTTGGTGACGTGGGATGGATAAGTGCATTTTTTCTGCAGTCTTTGAACATTTGCTAATTTCTTTCATAAGAGCTAATATTTTTATTTTTTACGTGAATATGCTACTTAAAATTATCTGCATTAATTTTAGCCACCCTTAATATTAGGACATTTTTATTCATAGTATAATTTAATTTCTTTTCTGTTTTCCCTGAAATTGAGAATTGTTAGCCTCAAAACCTTTCTTATACAAGAGAGCATATTAAATTACCACAATAATTTAAATAACAAATTTGTATTTTAAATTAATAAATTTAATTATTTTATATTTTATATTAATTATGTTATAATTAAATAATTCAAAATAATTCAAGTATCTTTATGCTTGACAATGTCTTCTTTTCTCAATATTTCTGCAGGTCAATTATAATTCTTTAGGCTATTACAAAATTTTCTTTCTCTTCAAATCATAAAATCCAAAACTAGGCAAAGTATATACAGCACTGACCTTATTATTCTAAGTAGAAATAAATAAAAATAATAACTACAATGTGAAAGTCTAAAATATAAAAAATGACAAATGTGTAATGGCAAATTTAATATCACTAACTGAGAATAGTGAAGGATTTTCTTTGTAATTCCTGAGTGTTTCATTCCCATTTTAGTTCATTCTCAACAATATTGCTGTCCCATATTTACCTTGATTTAACAAGTATCTATTTAGACACAGCTGTGTTGTGCAGCATAATGCTCAGTACTGAGAAGTATCCCCAGACACCGAGATAGTCCCAAGCCCCATGGGACTCAAGTTCCTCATCTTATATTTATGTAGTCACTTTCATCCTTAAATCTGACATCTGCCCTAATTTGACTTCATTCCTTTGGTTACCAAGAGCTTCTCCTATTTATCAAGTTCTTGTTGCATGCTAATCTACACATCTCAGTTTTAGGCCACCTGCACATCTTGGGAGCCTGTTCCTTATGCTAATAATAAACATAGTGTATGAAAGCAATATAATGTCTGGTCATACTCGGTACTGCTTTAGAACAGAATATGATTTTTATGTAGAAGAACTGCTTTTAATTTTCCTAAAGACTTAATACCACTGGAGTATAGCAAGGTGCTGTGTGTGCACTTGCTAAGAGCAGAGGAGAAACTGCCTTTCAACATAGTCCAAAGAATGGACCAGCCCACTTAACTTCCATCCATATGCATTATGATACCAGACTTTTAGCAAATATTGACATAATTTGTATTATTGCAACACCCCAAAATATTTTGTCCACCAAGCCATATAGGTTGCCTAGTAACCAAATAACACATGCAAATATTTGAATCTTTGAGTCAAGGATTGCCTACAGCTTGACCTCATGTAGAGTGACCTAATATGGAGTGAAAGCATTGTTCAGTTTCAGTGATTGCTGTTTCAGTAAGGTTGCAGCTGAGGGTGCAGTTATGATGTTGGTTATATTGGAGTTGTGCATGTGTTCTCTAAGGGCAGGCCAGAGGCTCTTATAGCTATTTGAGAAGGGACTGACCAGCTGACATAATGTCTTTTCATCTTCCACTATTGCTTTTAATGTGAACTAATAGAACCTCTGAGAAATTAGCTGGGTTATTATCAAGTGCTATAAATAATGGAAAATGTAATTTAAAAATATTTCTTTAAGTAAGATAGTCAGGCATAAAAAGGTAAACATGCCCCCACTTCTGATTTCTGCTTAAAGGTACTTCTGATGTCTGCAACCTGTGAAACCATACTTAAGTGCCATGTCCTGGTCATGAAATTTGCTAGCTATTTATCAAAAGCATAGCTTATCACTAACCACTGTGAAAAATCAAATATTATTTTGTTTTTGAGCCATGCCATCCCAAGTTCACAGAATTAGCCAGCCCTTAAAAACTGAAGCTGTTCTCTTGATGGTGATGACTCCACCTGTCTCTAAGAATTTCAGACTTCTTGAGTATTTCTGAAGTTTCCAATATAATGTATTGAGAATTGGTAAATATAAGCAATAGTTTTTATTTTGCCTTTATCCTCTTTTTCATTTTCTCTTACAGAAGGTGAAGAAGATGCACAGCGAAATTCCACAGAACAAAGTGGGGAAGCCCAGGGGGAAGCAGCAAAATCTGAAAGCTAACACCCCACTTTGACCTTCAGCAACACCTGACAATGTCTCAAATCTCCAGACATGGCTGGAATGCATTTGTTTCCATGAGTGAAAAGGGGAAAAAGAAAATGGCTGTGCTGCATTACAGGAACCTGCGTTGAAAGATTTTTTTTTAAGTTTTCCATTTTTTAAAGTTTTGTTCAATATTTTCCATAGTGTGATGGTGTACACAGGATAGAACACACTTTTTTAAAACCTAATCTTTCCCCTTAATCATTGTTTGTTGGGGGAATTGATTAAGTCTAACAGATTCATCAAGACTCCTTAGCTTTGTTATCCAGGCATTTGAAAATATCCATTAATGTGAATATTACCTGAATTCAGTATGTTGGGTGTCTGCACAGACCTAAATTCAATCTGTCAAATTTTGTTTTATTTACAAGTAGAAAACTTCTCCCAACTAATATTTTTATTTTTAATTATGAGAATTTTGAAGAATTGGAAAGGTAGGAAAGAAAATCCAAGACAATACTAAGAACTGGATATATGTTATTCAATGGAATCAAATTTCTCACAATGCTGTATGATACTATTTAAATTTGGAGGGTAACTTATTTCCACCAGGCTGAAAAAGATGTAGAAAGTGATCTTGCAATCCTGTGGACACCAATCACAAAAGTGAAGTGCTCGTGTTGTGTTTTTCATGTCTTTTTTCAGCCCTATGAGATTCAAATGTTATTATGCACTTTTTAATGTTTGTAAACTTTTACTAATAATTGGTGTGAATTGCATTCTGATATAATTATCATCATTAGAAGCTAACAGATCCTCATTAATGCTGTCGTTGGCCTCTGCTGTGTTTCGACATCATGGTTCTTGTATGGAAAATTTCTGTGAGCTGCGAATCCCTCTGGTCAGTATTATAAAATCATTTAATGGTGGTAATAAGTAAGGAACCAGTAATATGCCAAAGGTTCATGAATTACTGTACAAATAGCAGACAACAGGAGGTCCCTTTACAATAAAGAGCCTCCTTAACTGTCCTTGAGGACTTAGATACAGTTCCAGGTGAAGCAGAGAGCAGCGTTTCAACTGGTGATCTATGTGGCTATGCCAGGGATTCAGCCCTTCTCTGTAGTTACATGCAGATGAAAGAAAAGTCTGCTCACATCTCCCTTTATAGCACTTTTCAACTGCCCGGGATAAGACAATCAATATCAATAAGATATTACTAGAAAAAATGTTAACAATATAAGACTTTCCAAGAACAGAAAGAAGAAAGATAAAATTTTAGAGTACTTCCTTCTATCCAACCCATCAGTGTCCAAAATGTCCGGTTAAAATTCAAACAAACCCATCTATTTAGACTCACAAGTATGAAAAGAGGTTCGTGGGGCTATTTTAGACAATCTCTAATAATATGTTTAAAGCTTCCAACCCATATAATCAGTTTTCAGTATCCTCATGTACTATCCTCATAGCTTTCTTGTGAATCTGAAGTTCTCTTCCTTAAAGTTGTGTAATTATAAACTTATTTCATGTGATTTTGTAAAGTTTAGAACCTGTGCTGAGTATATGTGGAGGGTTTATATTCCTATGTGATGTACTATTATTAATGCATGTGATGCCATGCTTGTTTTTGAATATATAAATAGTGCTAAATTGCAAGTCATATGGAGCTTTTGATTTAGTTTGACCTCTTACTGCTACTTTGCTATATTTAAACCCATTGGCATTCTCAAACTGGGAAGATAAAAATCAACTTTCCAAAATGTCTGCATCCTATAAATTTTGCTTAGCAAAAATTCAAAGTATCTTCCAGATTTCATTTTAATATATTTTATTTGCAAGTCAATAATGCACATGGATCTGAATTTTTAAGGAAAGAAGAAAAGGGTAAGAAACCAAGGCATTAATTTGATAATAGGTCTTTGATCCCTGTTAAGCAATTATACCTATGCTAATCACTTGGCATATGTTCTCCCATTTAATCTTCAAACAATTCAATTAGAATGGAATCTTTATCCCATTTCATAGATTAGGAAATTAGCACCTGGTAAGGTATAAATTTTGCAAACTTAAAAAGCTAATAAGTAATGAAATTCAGTTTTGAACCCATGTTTGTCTGTCTCCAAAAAACTTTCTACTCCACATGCCATAAAATTAAAGCCAATTACAGAGCATGTTTATTTGTAAGGGAACTTTTAGAGATGGACTTGTTCAGCCCTTATATTTTAGAGAAGGAAACTGAGTCCCAGAAAGGGGAATTGCCTTTTTCAAGGTTACCCAGATGGGTAATTATACAGATGTGACAAGATCATAGAAAGTATACTTTAAAAAAAAATTTAATTATTACATGGGGGGGGGTGTACTTCCCAGAAGAAATTTTTCTGGCATGTGGTCTGTAAGCTTAGCATCATTCAGATTTTTTATGTTCCATTCTACTCATTTTGTTTAATTAGTTAGAAACATGAAGATGTTGATTTTTTGACTCTTTTGCAACAACAGTGAACTTGTCAAATTCACCTTTTATTAGTTGTAAGCATCCTATGCCAACATATTGTTATCATAAATTCATAGAAATGTTTTTCCAATAGGTAACAGACATTGTAGCCTCCAATTTTTAGGCTGTGTCCCCAGAACAGCCCCTGTAAATGTCCTACACCTGAGTCTTACTCAGACATGAAGACAAAACACCATTGTAGAAGATGAATGATATTGCTATTTCTTTTCAGAGAAATAAAAATGAATAACAAAATGTAACTGCTGGGCAGCAAAGCTTCTGAGTGAAACCTGTAGTAGTAGTGAGAAATGTATAGTCATCAAGTGAAAACAGGAAAGGATCTGTGATTTATGATGTCTTAATAGGCCCTCAATTGTTCTTTAATTAAAATAGTGGCAGTCTCTGAAGTCATTTGTGAGCTTGTATGACTTTTGTATTTAGCAATGTTGCATGCTCACATAATTGATATTAAAAGTAATACATTTTTCTGAAATGTACAAAGTCTATTAAGAGTCTTTATTGAACACACATAATATACTTGGTACTAGAGAAAGTGCTACTGGTGATAAAGGAGAAATCCCAAGCCTCAGTCATCCTGCGGCGGATGTGCCCAGTTCTCCAGCTTCGCTCTTTCCTGGCCTTTATTCCAATAATTTTCACCTCCATTCCACTCTCGCAGCCCACTTCATGGACTTTGTCATCTACCAGAACCATCCAACGTTCTAGATGTTAAACCCCAATATCACACCTACAAGACTTGCTCATCTCCAGGGAGGAGATTTTCAATCAGGAGAAAGATAGATGTTTATCAGAATCCCCTGAAAGTTTTTACAACACCCACTCTCTACCCACACACACATAGATACATCCATACACAAACACTCTCTTTCCATTGAAACAACTGTGCATGACTCTGATAGCTTTTTCCCCTCCCACCCCTACTCCTACCCCACAAGAACCACTGATCTAGAAGAAGTCGAAGGCTTCCCGATGCACTCACCCTGCCCACTCTACTGAAAGACTTTCAAATGAGTCAGCAACAAAATGCAGTCCTTAGAGATACCCATGGTTACACTGTGTTAAGGATAACATTTTGGGGTAGAGGAGCAAAGAGAGATTAACTTCTATCATCTTGGTGTTGCTTTTTTCTTCATATTTTTTATCATTCACAGGAAGTAAAGACCAAGAGAGACCAAGGTGGGACTCAGAAGAAAGCAGGCATCAAACAGCATTCAGCCTGAGCCCAGGCAAGGTCTCAAGCTGAAGGAGCAAAAGAGGATGTAAATATTTAAGGTCATCCTACTCAGGTCACAGGGATAAAACACTACATAGGGATTGGGACAAAGTGCTGGCCAGTGAAACAAGTTTAGGGGCTCTAATGTCTCTTCTCCTTGTATATTCTTTGCATCCGCCTTGTTCAGGATGTGGGGTTTGGGATCCTGGCCATCTCAAAATAAAGTTATCTCAAAGCAAAGTTATCTGACTATAACCCACTAACTTTATAATTTGCACCACATTACCTTTCTGATCATATCAAGATGGATATTTCCTTAGCAACCTTCCTCCTAGTCTGGAATCCACTGTTAACATTTCTCCTCTGTTTCTCAGGTTCTTTAATTGACGTTTTTAAGCAATTTTCTTCTGAGCTTAACAGGAGGTCAATTAATTATCCTTTTCACTGACTACTCTTTTTCACAAATGTGCTCAAGTTTTCAAGTTTCTTTTTCCTTCACTGTGTATGCTTCTCAAAATAGTAATCTATGTTCTCTGTTTTCATGGTTCGCCTCATCTCCTATCCTTTTGCAATTTGACTTCCAGTTAAATTTTTCTTATTACCAATGATGTCTTCAGTGGCTCCTGGACTCCTAGTAATTGTCACTGAAGCCTTGGCCGATGTGGAAATCAAAAAGTTATGATGTTTCAGAGGACTCAAATTTCACCTAAAATCAAATGTAATGCTTTTTTTTATAATTTTAATTGATATTACTGTGACAAGTTATAGCTGCAAAATAAAGTCTTCTTTAGGATGGAGTCACATTCCCCAAGAAGAAGTCAATTTTCTCTCTACAATAGCACCTTCCATAATATATAGATATGTCCTTATTCTACGTCCACAATCTCCCCATAATGTTTGTTTGCTACATCTTCAGATCCCGCAGTGCTCCTTTCTTCATAGGGTTAGTTGCCACACATTTGAGTACTAACCCAGAGCCTAGCCATCCAGAGATGGGCAAGATTATCTTGTGATGCTGCACATTTCTGTGTTCTATTACACTCTGGGATGACTGCCAGCAATGTCACTAGTTTCTCTCAACAACAGGCACATGCAAGCAAAATCCCAGTCTCACTGTACTTCTCTGAATTAGACCTAAACAAAACAAATCAACCCCAACTGCCAAATATAATGGAGAGTTTATATGTCTTATTAGTTTATCCATTGACATTTCACCCAATTTACCATGAAATCTCTTTTTAAATGCTTCATTTGCTTTCCTTCTTTCCCCCCACTCCAGGTATTTTTATTTAGTTATTTATTTACTGTTCCTTTTCCTCTGACAATTCCTCACTCTCCTCCCTATTTCTTCCTTCTCTACCTCCCCACAAAATATTATGTTTTCCTAGAATTTGATTTTTATTCCTGTTCTT